CGAAGTGATATTTGTTCACTGGAAATTAGGGCCTTTTCGTCTTCAAAAGGGGACAACAATCATTTACTTTGTGAATTCTCTATGGAGGTCACTTGAAAATTCGCCCTTTTCACTGGGGTTGTGTACTTCAAGGAGGTAATGCTCGTAACTGCGACTTGTTATTGGGCCAGCTCGGGCGCCAAAACAGAGGATATGTAATCCCCTACCATCTGATGTAACACATAATTTGATTGGTTGTCGAGCAATTAGGGCCAATTTCAATCCAATAAAAAGAAGCTTTCTGAAATGTATGCATCGACCTCCGTAATTTATGTGCGTAAGCGAAGTTTTTACACAGCGGACAATGAGGCTTACACACCGTGCTCGCAGCCATGCGTATTTCGACCAACACATTTGACTCAGCTCCGCGGCGATGGAAAAGACACATTTTATGTTGATTTCAGCAATTTACTGAAGGGAATTTAGATATTATGGACGATCTTTTACAAAAAAGGTGTGTAGGGATTAGATTATATCTTTCACGAGACACTGAATTCTTTAGTTTTCCTGAAATTTAGCCAAAAAAAATGGCACTCTAAACTCGCTTTATGAGCAGATCTAAATATTCATGGTCGATCTGCTAGTGAAGGAATTGCGTATTCATATTGCAGGGTGATCCCGCCCATCTTAGACGGAGGTATTACAATGGACTTATGCATTGTGATGTGCATCTGCATCTACTAGACTAACATATATAATTTCCTGATTTGTTTTCTTTTTTTTGGGAGAAGAAGAGGGAAGAGAGAGACAGAGCATGGACATGGACAGAGAGAGAGAGTTGACAAGTCACGCTCGCACAGCGGTGTTGACATTCACACTCTCACCAGTTTTCTACGATAAACCCCTATTTCATAAAAATCTACGAGTCCGGCACCTTGATGTTACGCTCTAGTGCACTCCATTGTTCGTCGTCTTGTGTGGGAGGTACACAAAATGCCTCATTGATCTTTTGGCCGAATGTGGGTCATATTTGTTCATATGACTCAGTCGAAATTACCTGCTCTACAATGCATGAAATCTAATTGTAATCCGGGATGTACCGGTAGGCCTACAGTGGTGTTTGAAATATAAATATCAATACCCAAGACGAAAATCCAATTGAATCCCCATTGAATGTCCCCATTGAATCCCAATTGGCAATTTGGAGTAAATGGAAATTGAAACAATGGGTACCCATTGAAACCAATTGGCAATTGGTCCCCATTAAAACCAATTGCCAGTTGGTTTCAATGGGGACCAATTGCCAATTTACTGAAGGGAATTTAGATATTATGGACGATCTTTTACAAAAAAGGTGTGTAGGGATTAGATTATATCTTTCACGAGACACTGAATTCTTTAGTTTTCCTGAAATTTAGCAAAAAAAAATGGCACTCTAAACTCGCTTTATGAGCAGATCTAAATATTCATGGTCGATCTGCTAGTGAAGGAATTGCGTATTCATATTGCAGGGTGATCCCGCCCATCTTAGACGGAGGTATTACAATGGACTTATGCATTGTGATGTGCATCTGCATCTACTAGACTAACATATATAATTTCCTGATTTGTTTTCTTTTTTTTGGGAGAAGAAGAGGGAAGAGAGAGACAGAGCATGGACATGGACAGAGAGAGAGAGTTGACAAGTCACGCTCGCACAGCGGTGTTGACATTCACACTCTCACCAGTTTTCTACGATAAACCCCTATTTCATAAAAATCTACGAGTCCGGCACCTTGATGTTACGCTCTAGTGCACTCCATTGTTCGTCGTCTTGTGTGGGAGGTACACAAAATGCCTCATTGATCTTTTGGCCGAATGTGGGTCATATTTGTTCATATGACTCAGTCGAAATTACCTGCTCTACAATGCATGAAATCTAATTGTAATCCGGGATGTACCGGTAGGCCTACAGTGGTGTTTGAAATATAAATATCAATACCCAAGACGAAAATCCAATTGAATCCCCATTGAATGTCCCCATTGAATCCCAATTGGCAATTTGGAGTAAATGGAAATTGAAACAATGGGTACCCATTGAAACCAATTGGCAATTGGTCCCCATTGAAACCAACTGGCAATTGGTTTTAATGGGGACCAATTGCCAATTGGTTCCAATGGGACCAATTGCCAATTGGTTTCAATGGGTACCCATTGTTTCACTTTCCATGTACTCCAAATTGCCAATTGGTATTGAATAGGGATTCAATGGGGGCATTCAATGGGGATTCAATTGGTATAAATTGATCCAGTTAGAAGAACCAGTGATAATTACTGATACTTCATAATCGATATTGGCAACTGTCCAACAATTAGGTATATTCCAATCTCATTTGCATTAACTTCATCACAAAGATCATTTGAAGTGAATTCAAGAGTTGCATTTAGAAAGGCATTGGCTCGTACACATATATATACTAAATATGTATATTGTTTCCTGGTTAGTAATCATATAATCAATATATCTATTGCTAAAACGTGAATGTAATTGTAACATGATCAGACAAAATAATCTATTGGTTATTAATTGCCGAAGGAAAAAAGAAATCACAAAATTGATGTGCATTGTCATGATTTGCTTAACAAATCATGATAAATTTATTTTTCTGTGACACATGTAAAGTGATAATGAATATTCATGAGATGCCTAGATTTGTTGGTTTCTATTGGTTTCTGTTGTTTTCTATTGGTCATATTGGTCCTATTGTTTTTTATTGGTCTTATTGGTCCTAATGGTTTCTATTGGTCCAATTGGTTTCTATACTATGTAGCATTGGTCCTATTGGTTTCTATTGATTTCAATTGGCCCTATTAGACTTTAATGGAATTTCAATTGGTTTCAATTGAACCAATTGAAGTCCAAATTAAGGCCAATTGGTCCAATTGAAACCAATTGGGGACTCATTAAAGTCTAATGGGGCCTAGGCCAATGGGGCCAATGGGTCCAATTTGTCCAATGGGGCCAATCTGGACCAATTGAAACCAATTGGGGACCCATTAAAGTCTAATGGGGCCTAGGCCAATGGGGCCAATGGGGCCAATTTGTCCAATGGGGCCAATCTGGACCAATTGAAACCATCTGAAGTCCTATTAAAGTCCCATTGAAACCTCTTAAAACCTATTGAGACCAATTGGTCCAATTGAAACCAATTGGGGACTCATTAAAGTCTAATGGGGCCTAGGCCAATGGGGCCAATGGGTCCAATTTGTCCAATGGGGCCAATCTGGACCAATTGAAACCAATTGGGGACCCATTAAAGTCTAATGGGGCCTAGGCCAATGGGCCCAATGGGGCCAATTTGTCCAATGGGGCCAATCTGGACCAATTGAAACCATCTGAAGTCCTATTAAAGTCCCATTGAAACCTCTTAAAACCTATTGAGACCAATTGGAAGCTATTGAAACCAATTGAAACCAATTGAAATTTCAATTGGTGTTCAATTGGTTTCAATTGCATTTTCGTCTTGGGATATAGAGGTCGTCTGAACAAGTGTACTAATGGCATGCCTGTGTGGAGAGTACCATCAGCCTTTTCACACACAGCTAAAATTCATCGTATCTACATAGTGCTGATTAGTTTAAAGCTGTTTAACTCCACAATTTTATACAGCTTTAAAGAAAATTTTGCCTGTGTGAACATTGTTTATACGATGTTTGGATAGATACGAAGTCGCGATTCGTACGCCCCTCAAAGCAGGCTGCAGATACGAAGTTTGTCTCTGGAGAGCTTGACATTTTGTGTGTGAACGGTTATACGTGTTTAAACTGGAGCATGTGCTTTGTTTGATATGACGCGCAATGGCACTACTGCGCATTTTAAGAGCAGTAGTTAATCACGAAACGATTAACGATCACACCGAAATTTCTGTGGGTGAATGATGTCGTATGTAAAGCTGATTGGTTAAAGCGCTTTAAACTAATCAGCTTTACAGAATTTTACTCGTGTGTGAAAAGGCTGCTAGTAGTATAGCACAACAGTTTGCTTCCCATGTGTGTGTGTGTGTAATTGGGTTTTTCCAAGATATGATTATTTACGTCTTGGGACCGACCTTTAACATCACCATGCCCTGTGTACCAAGTTTAACAGCATTGAGCTACACCGCATGTTTAATATCCATACATGTACATGCACAATTCATGAGGCAGCTTTAATTTATACATTCAGCTCATCGCATGTGCATATCTATTCTCGCACATACCTTGCACACACTCACACTTTGAAAAACTAACATCAAACGATAAGGCATACAAATCACAATATTTCACAAATTATACAAATATTTTGCAATACACAATCAGAATATTCCCAATATGATATTTAATTTATTAATTCATAAACCCTCTGAATATACATTTTGTCTCTTTCTGCATCAGAGATACCCCCCCCCCTTTCCGAATATAAGCTAGATCTTCACAATACATTTCAGCCCTTTTTATCTTTGAATAAAGTTCAGTATTAAAGGTAAAGACCAGTATTGGAAACGCCCCAATTTCAAAAAATGAAATGGAAGCTCTCATTACCAATCATGTGAAAGAATATGTTTTGACTAATACATGATGATAAAAAATTTGCCGGGAAACCGCCTACTAATTCATATATTTGGTAAATTTGTTTCTCTCATGGTCTGTGAGATATAGGGTAGTCCCATATACATCTTTCTGTGTATAGTGCTTGTAACTTAACGAAGAATGGGCCAAATTTCTTATCATTTTGATGATTCCAGAACCTTGCAGATGCTAGATGCTAGATGATCAACCTTTTCTGATCGATTCCACAACGTTCCTTTTACAATGCAATCGCATGACCATAACTGGTCTTTACCTTTAAATCGCACAAGTCGAGTCAAGTGGCAAATATTTGGACGAGGGGAGGAAATTTTTTAAAAGTGAACCATTTTATGTACACTGTACATCATGCATGTCACTAATATAAGTAATTTGCATAGTAAACAGCAGAATCCCTTTTTTCTCTTCAATTACAGGATGTCCTGCTGGGGTTACCATTCTTGTAGTTGTACCCCAGTGGACTGAGTTTCTGTCGAATGAGAAAGACATCTTGCACCATGGATGGATTCTGCCTACTTTATCTGCTCATGATCCTCCTGATGAGATCTGGTGATGTTGAAACCATGCAACCCTGGACCAGACAGGTCAGTCTAATTGTATTTGAAAGTTATTTCCTGTTCTTTATTGCAACATTAATAACCAGTAGGGGCTTGTATCTATCACTCATGTAATCAGGTTAGCATTTTTTGAGTATTTTTGTAGATACAAGCTATGTATTCTACAAAGCGTAGGGCTGACACTTCATCTTTTTACATTTTATCACTTGGACAAATACAAGAGCTTGTTATTTGGACTAGGCATGACATATATTTCAAATATGTTCTCTGTTTTTTTAGTTTACATGTACTCTTGGTTATCGTCAGTACCTTTCATGGGTGGATCCGGCGACTGACTTTCAGAAGGTTTATGAAGGTGCCCAAAATCATGGCTGGAGAAGCATGCATGATTCTTTTGTGTTTGTCTCTTCTCATGCATTGGCAAAATTTACATGTTGTTAATATCTGCGTCAGGAACCATCAATGTTTGTGTTTTGGAATGGTATTTCAACGACATGTTGGGTCACATGACCCAACATTTCGTAGATCAGAAACTTCTAAAAACATGATAACGTCATTACTCGAGTGATTGTTACAAGCCGGCAATATGATTAGTGATTATTAAAGCGTAACACCACATACATGCATGCCAATTTTTTTTCTGTATTCTTGATGAGGTATATGCTTCAATGTAACCTTTAAATAAATCTTATCAGTACATGTAGCTTAATGAAATCAGGTAGGTATGCGCATGAAGCTGCAGGTACTGACAGTGCTCAAATGTAGAAGCTAGTGATGATGATGATGATGATGATGAAAAGCATTTGTATGGCGCCATATATCTGTTTAAAAAACATTCAAAGGCGCAAGCTCCTCCAATAAAATTAGCATTTAAATGTCTGAAGGAAGATGTGAGTTTTGAGTGAAGCTTTGAAGTGGTCCAGGTTGTCAATTTCGCGAATAGATGATGGGAGGGAATTCCACAGTGTACATATTTGTAGGTTGGAGTAGTTTATTCTACCATGAAGTTTAATGTTGTACAGTCTGTTTCTCCTAAATGCATATCAGCAACTGAACTAAACTTAGAACTGGTGCTTAAATGAATGTTACAACACAATAAGAGATACTTTAGAGATATAAAATGCTTGATAAAATCTTCTCTTTTTTAATTACAGGATTGTCAGTGAGGAGGAATTCATAAAGCTGTCAAAGCTAATTGAACCAAGCTACTACAAAGAGGTGGGCGTTAACCTGGAAATCCCCAATGCAGAGCTTGGTCAAATCATTGTGCAGCATTTGCTAAATACCAGTGATGCATTGATGACAGTGTTCACAAGATGGAGAGACAAACACCCACCAGGCACAGACATCAGGACTCTCCTTGCAGAGGGATTAGAAAGAAGTAACTTAGGGTCCCTCTCTGGTGAACTACTTGCTGGCAGTCTAGTCCCGAACAGGACAGGTGAGAATAAGAAGGAAATCGTGTCGGCTGCCCGCAAGAAGGCCTTTACTGCCATTGATAATACATTGCTCTTGAAGGCAGCCAACAAACACTATTAATTGGCACTTTCTCATTTGGTGCAAATAGTGTTACTTATAGCAGGACATCCGAGTAGACGAACAGCCCACGTAACTGATACTACGGGTCTGGTGAACTCTCAAAATAGTTGTCAGAACACCCATGAAAATGACATGTTGGTCTTGTGGGCTGTTAGTCCATTGGTTGCTCGTCTCGTGGGGCTTCTGACAACTTTTTAGATGGTTCGCTAGACAGATATTGTCGGTCTTGTGGGCTTTTGGTCACATGGGCTGTGGCCATTAATACATGGTTTAATACAGACCCACTCACTTTGCGCTGTGTAAGGGAGATGATGCAATTAGATTTATATGAAGCTTTAAAAGGATTGTCATTCAAATTTCTTGGCATTTCAAGCCCAGCCACTTTCTGACTTTTTTTGTGGAGTCATGTTCCTCTTTTGACAGGTTTATGAAAAAAAATTGTACCGTTACAGAGCAATTTTCTCTTTTGTGACCATTTGTCAGCCCTAAAATGAAGAACTTCTCATTTTTGTGTACACATCAAAAGGAAACCACATTTCTCTCAGTTTTTTGATATGGAGTGGAATTGGTCTTTTCACGGTAGTTCACGAGGTTTAAAAGGTTCATCATTATTGTCCATACTGTTAGTGATGGAAATTAATGCTATTTACATGTTACATATGGATACATAAATAGACATGTACATACATTCAATCAAAAAGACATATTAATATTTTACAGAGATATTGTTAAGTTAAAAAACAAACAAACATAGGCATGTCATGCATCCACAATAGTATGATGTACCTAGAAAACTGCAACAACGATAAATTATCATCTGTTCTCATTGAATCTTTGTCCACATAACGCCCTCAAACAAAAACAAAACAAAAAGAAAGCAAATTGAAAGTTGAAAAACATAAATACAATAGTAATTTGTTTTGTGTTCATGTGTATGTTATGAATATCCTCAAATGAAACATTTTGATATTTAGAAAAAATTGCTGGTGATCTTAAAGATTAAGTTAAATCGTTACACTCATTTTTATTAAATTTAAAGGTGCACCTGCTACATTGCTAGGATCGCAGACCCAACCACTTTCTCCTGATCTGATCAAGAGATGTGCAGATGATTTCAAATTTAAGTACCGACAACTCTCTGTAAGATCAGAGCTGATCCTCTCAACCCTGATTCCATTGTACCATTCACAGACATGTACACAAACCTTGTCCTGGAAGAGGGATATAGAGATCACAAGCGACCACTTGAGTACAGGGATCTCTTTGATCTTAAAGTCAATGGAGAGTTCCCCAAGCGAATCATGATTCAGGGAGAGGCAGGGGCTGGGAAGACAACATTCTGTGCTAAGATTGCCTGGGACTGGATAAATAACAGTCCTGTTCTCCCAAAGTTTGTGTGGGTACTTGTCGTCCCTCTTCGTGAAGCCAAGCGATACACGATCGGTGAGATTGCCAAGTCGTATCTCTCAAAGGACAATCCAGCAACAGCCTGCCAGATCACTGAGTACATCCGGTCAAATCCAAAAGATGTATTCATTGCGTTTGATGGATTAGATGAGTTTGATGGCCAGGTTGTACAGCAGATGAAAGCTGGCTCAAAGGCAGAGTGTCTCCAGCCACAGTCCGCTGATCAAACCCAGACAAGAGGAAGTTCTTCAGAGAGAGGTGACATTGCACTTGGAGACATTCTTAGTTCAGATGAAATTGCCACTTGCCCGGTGTTGGTGACAAGTCGCCCGTGGAAGGTCACAGAGATTAGATGGGATGATAGTCTGAGGAAACTGTACACTTTCATTTATGTGGAAGGTTTTAGCAAGAAGAATGTGGAGATTTACATTCACAAGTACTTTGAAGAAGATGTGGCCACAGCAGATCAGCTTATCCAATTAACCAAAGACAATGACATCATATCTGAGAATATGGCCCCATGTCCTATCTACATAGCTATGCTTTGTCTTATGTGGAAAGAACTTGGTGACGAAAAACAAGAAAAGTTTAAGTCATTTCGAACCTTTTCTCAAATATTTGATGAAATGTTTGAATTCTTGAAGGTGCATTATGCTCAGAAGGCGATGTCAAATTTAGGCAGCCCATCATTCCAAGCAGATATCTCTCAAATCGAGAAGTTCATGGAACCAGTTGCCAAAGTTGCTTTCAACGGGCTACAAAAGAACACCCTCATTTTCAAAGAAGATGATTTTGAACAGTGCTCAGACTCCATAGAAACAGCTTGCAGAGTGGGGGTGTTGTCTCAGGAGAAGAAATTGTCATCTATATATGATAAGAGCAGTCTGTTCCTGCAGTCTACCATCTTCTTTCCACACAAACTCTTTCAGGAGTACATGGCTGGGGTCCATCTTGCTTCCCTGTATGAATCAGATCACAATGAATTCAACAGGCTGATTGAGCAAGTAGTGCTGCCTAGGAAAGAAGAGTTTAGGTATCTCCTGTACTTCACTGTATCACAGGACAAAACCATTGCTAACCATGTCATGAAATGCATGGTACAGGGTAACACCCCAAACAGCAAAGAGATGGATTTCTTGGTTGATGTTTCCTTTGAGAGTCAGGACCTAGATACTGCAGCCTTGGTGACGGGTGGAATGTCGTCTCTGTACATAAACAGCAAAATGAAAGCACACACTGTTGCAGGTTTTGCATTCACTGGAATACATTTAGATGTGGTAAGTATACATACATCAAATTTAAGCAATGGACTCTGATTTTCTCATATTATTTATTATTTTGTATCTATTTTTTATCCCCTCGCCGACGAAGTCGGAGGGGATATATAGTAAGGCTGCCGTGCGTGCGTGCGTGCGTACGTCCGTCCGTAACAAATTTGGTTTCCGATTGATAACTTTAGTAATGTTTTGACAGATTTTAATGAAATTTGATTTGAAGGTAGTTAAGGTACATGCTATCAAAATACAGGCTAAGTTCGATTTTGGAGTATGTAGGTCAAAGGTCATAGCTCATTAAATATGCAAAACAAATACACATCTAGTTTGCGATCAATAACTTTAGTAATGTTTGACGGATTTTAATGAAATTTGATATGGAGGTACATGGTATCAAAACAAAGCCTAAGTTCAATTTCCGAGTATGTAGGTCAAAGGTCATAGCTCATTAAATATGTGAATCTGGTTTCCGATCCATAACTTTAGTATTGTTTGACAGATTTTAATGAAATTTGATATGAAGGTTCATGGTATCAAAACACATTCTAAGTTCAATTTCGGAGTATGTAGGTCAAAGGTCATAGCTCATTAAACATGCAAATCTGGTTTCCATTCGATAACTTGAGTAATGTTTGATGAATTTTAATGGAATTTAATATGACAGTACATGGTATAAAAAAAAATGTAGAGCCTAAGTTCTATTTCGGAGTATGTAGGTCAAAGATGAAAGGTCATAGCTCATTAAATATTTAAAAAAAAACCTAATTATATATGTAAAAATGTGGTTAACTTCCTTGCCTAGTAATATAATAGTATATTAGCGGATGCTACGCTTTGCATTGACTTGTTGAATTTTGTTTTTTGTTTGTTTAAAGATCGGCCTTGATGTGCGTGATAGAGAATTTGGACCAACTTTATCACATGATTTGGTGGATATTATATGCTCTGCTCCATCTTTAAAGAATGTTGCACTAGAAACTGCATCCTTACACAGTGACTTCTATGCAGTTCTTGCTAAAGAAGGAAACAAGTCCAAGGTGAGTGAAAATACATATACATACCGGTATTGTAATGTCATAGTATAGCCTATTGGGAAGGGGGGGGGGGATTCAAGACGCAGAACATCAATCGCTTGAAAATCTAAGAAATCACTGTCATTATAGTCAGAAAATAAAGTTAGGTTAGGTTGCAAATTTATGGTGTCCTCTAGTTGGCAAATACATATAAAGAGGAAATAAGGAGTACAAGTGAAGATGAAGAACAATAAAGAGGTAAGGGCCTGGACACTATGGAGGGTTTCTTCTTTCATGTGTATTCCATTATAGATCTATTAAAAAATTATATTTTTATGCCTCTGCAACTAAATAGCCGGAGGCATTGTTTTTTCGGGTTGTCCGTCCGTCTGTACGTCCCGTTCTCATGATCGCGTTATCTCAAGAACCGATAGATGGATTGCCTCCTAACTTGGGTCATGTGTGTATCTCGCAGAGCCAATGAACTGATTAGATTTTGGGGTCATGAGGTCAAAAGTCTTTGGGCTCATGTATACAAAAATAGCTTGTGAATGCATTCTCGATCATTAGAACTGATGGATGGATTACCATCAAACTCAGGACATGTTTATATCTTGCAGAGCCATGTATATGAAAATAGTTTCTAATCATGATATTTTGAGAACCTGTTAATGGATTACAATCAAACTTGAATTTTAAAAATTGCTTCTGTTTTGGTTTGTAAACTTGCTCTGTGGTGGAGGCATCATTTTCGACTGCACTCGGTCTAAGATCCATCTAGTTATATTTACACCTTATTTGTTTATTATTTGTACTGCTTGGACATGGAAAAAATGTATACATGTTCTTTATTACCTTTAAATTCTATGAACTGCTCTGAAATTCTACAACATCTTGTGATTATATTCCAAAAAATCTTGGTGGTTTAACCTTTGCATCATTATACTGCATGGATTTTCTCATTTGTAATGTATACATGTACTCATAGTGACTGTTGTCATATATTTCTTGTATTATTCAAATGCTTACCAATACATATTGCAACTAAAGACATTGTTGGTGTTATTATTATTGCAATGACGACCTTCGTCATTGCCTTGTTTTCATTCACATTCTTCTTATTAATATGCTTACTTCTTCTTGTCGTCCGGAATCCCATTCGTTTTGCACGTAGTGCTTGTTATTCCTAGTTAGGTGCTTTCCTCATGTCCTTTTCCTTTCAAATTTCATAGGCATAGTCTCTAACATCTCAACAAGGTCACTACATTCTTCGATTCTCGAAATCACTCATGCATAACCGTCCAGGCGCCATTTTGTCCGTTTCTGGTCCATTTTAAGGCCTTTCTTTCTTCCTTCCTATCTCCACTATCCTAGATCCTACAACCTTCTAACAAATTCCTCTAGATAGTCTAAGAGATGTTCTTTCATCTGCGACGTATAATCTGACCTTCAAAATGCCATCTTCGTACTCAAAATTCAAATCTGAAACCGACTCCATCAAAAATCTCTCAAATTCTCGAAAATTTGACCCCTAAATAATCTAAAACTGCCATAACTTTCTCATATAAATTCTGTTTTGTATTTAAATCTCACAGTATCTTTATCTCGTAATTGCACATAGCCATGCCAAATTTCACGCTCCAATGGCTTTGCACAGCATAAATAGCGCCCTCTAAAGTTCTGGGAATTGGCTTTCTCTCTGTGGCCGTATCTCCATAATGGCTTGGCAAACCCGTACCCTTTTTTGGATTTAGATACTTGAAGATATGCCCTTTCCAGCCATATACAAAATTATATACCCTATCACTGACCAAATTTGAGAAAATTGCCCTCCAAATTCGCCATTTTCAAGAAAATTGAGAAATAATTTCAACTTGCTCTAAACCGGCGATCTTTATACCTACATCAATGAAACTTGGCAGACACATGTATCCATATACGTGACAACTGTCTGCTAAGTTTAGTAAATTGTAATGCCCTCTTCGCCAATTTATCGCCCAAAATGATGAATTTACTTTGCTTTACGTAATAGCGCGTTTGATGCGTGCAGTACGTTTTGCGCAGATGACAATGGTTTCAAACTGACCGCACTTAAGTGCCCTTTCGAATGATACCAAGTATGGTATATGTTCACACAGAAAATTGTGAGTTAATCGCATTTGAACAAGGGTCACTATACAAATTCCGCCGAGTTTCCGCCCTATTATAACACGTTTCGGCCATGACGTCATTTTTTAAGACTGTTATTCGGTTGTGTTAGTATGGGCGGCCGTTCGTGCCAAAGCACGCGTCGCAACATGTTCATCATGCACCAAGTCCTATTGGTTTTGCACGCAGTGCTTGCGAGCCCTTTCTAGATCCTTTCCTCTACTCCAATTCCCTTCAAAATTCGTAGGCGTAGTCTCTAGCATTCCTTCAAGGTCACTAAATTCTTCGTTCTCCGGAAACCCTCATGCGTGACCGTCCAGGCACCATTTTTTCCGTTTCGGGCCGTTTTGGTGACCTTTCTTTCGCCCTAACTATCTCCACTATCACAGAAGCTACAGACTTCTTACATATTGCTCTGGATAGTCCGAGAGTAGCTCCTTCGTTTGACACGTAGAAACATGGCGTCATTGCACGCACATCGTTGTGACACGATTGCATTTCTAGTTATTATTAGTATTGTTGTTATTATTAATACTATTATTATTTAATTAATATTTTATTTCTAAATCTAGATCACATTGCACTTATTTTAAGCGCAGCCACATATATACACTTTACATATACGTTCATGTATTGTATTGTATTTATTAAACTTCATTGATGTACATCAATATTCTGTTTATAAACATATAAATCAATTTACAATGTAATGTAACAAATCAATATTCTGTTTGGAAACATATATATCATATAAATCAATTTACATTGATTTTTGTAATAACATGACATAATGCATTTAGTAATATAATGAACCATATAATACATCCGAAGATTTAGATATATACTTGTATGAATCACTGTTTGTAAACTTGTAGATTGAAACCCTCGAGCTTAATGGTTCTAGTCATCCAACAGCAGCCTCTACACATCACCTAGCAGATGCTTTGTGTTCAATGCCAAACCTGACTAAACTGACACTAAGGGGATGGGATTTCGAGAAGGAGTTCTATTCTACACTGAATGCAAAGGCGTCAACCTTACAGGTATGTATGTATGTTTGTACTCTACATCCTTGCCATGATGAATCTATGTAGGCATGTAGCAGTGGAAATGAGTTTAAGGAGTAATTATATTTTAGCAACAGTCAATAATTTTCACGTGTGTAATATTTTGTGTATGAAATTCTAAAATAGTCTTGGCAGACAAAGGATTGTTATTATGAAGAGGGTATGATACAGAATTCATATAGCTTGAGTTGAAAATGTAATGTTCTGCAATTTTTTTTTAAAGGTTTGCCTCAGAGAAGGTAGCTTATTTTTTGATGGAGACCGACTGGATGTGTTTAAAGTATGCATTTTTAGGGGAAAGGGCATTTTAGGGGAAAGGGAGTGTTGTGTTGATACTCGTGTAGTAATACAATTTCAGTATAAACATATTACTGACAGAAGTACTCTACAGAATCGTAGATACAAATATTTTTGTTTGTAATTGTATATTTTTAAGTTCATAGCGATTCATAAGCTTGGAATTATGTCTCATGGGTCTGAAAGCAGTACCATAGTATACTCTAGATTCAATACTCACCAAACAAGGATGGAGAACTGGTTCACAGTGTACTTTTGTTAAGCACTGCTACGTGTACAGACTCTACACATATGCATTATATGTATCATCTTTATTCTGCGTAATAAACAAAGAAGTATACACATATGAAACCAGCCCATGACATAATGTAGTATACAATACACAATTGTGTCACTGGCAGTAAGTATCACAGTGAAATTTTGAAGTATCTAAATTTCATTTCCCCTGCCCAATTCCTTTTTTGAGCACATGAAAAGAAGAATTTTGATACCTCATTTGTCAAATTTGACTAAATACTTTGAAAATATGGCCACTTACATGAAAGACGAAATGGTCGAATTTTGCGTAATTAGGTTTCAACTGACAATTAGCCATTTTCAAGGTGACATAATTTTGTAATTAATTGATAAATCCTCTTTCTTATCCCTTCTCTGACATCAAATTTCACTTCCTTTCTCAACATTTTCTAATTGCTATCCGACATTGAACTAACAACCTTTTCTACAACGATTGCCGCTTCTAAATTTCCATAGGATTTGGTACTAGAACTTAACTCACAATCCAGTTTTTGTTCAAAAGCGACCTTGACCCTTGTGTCAGCTCTTGTAAGACCATGTGCTATGTCGCAAATCATCTTGCAAACACCCACTGAGTTTACAAGGCAGCTTTGAAGCTCAATCAAATGGCTCTCGCTAGCTAGTTCTCCATAGCTGGTATCTCTTGGTAGTAATTAAATGCACCATGGCTGTCATTTTCGATCCTCCTGTTGTTCGACACATGATCTGTCAACAATTCTGCTGAGCTTACTATCCTGTACTAACCAAATTCCTAACTTCATCCCTGCACCAAAAGTATACCTATCACTAAACCTTAGCTCAAACCTATTTGCAGCCCTCATTCAAAGCTATATATTTGATTAAATAAAGCCCAGAGCATTTGTCACCCGAGCTTAGCCATGCACATACGTGTATATTGGACTACCCAGTTATATTTGCAGTCGCTCAATAAAAACATGTACTCTGTTAATATTCTTGTATGAATCCTTGTTTGTATACATAGGTCCAAAAGGTCATGCTTTCAGATGTTAGATGTCCAACAGCAGCGTCTTCAAATCACCTAGTAGATGCTTTGTGTTCCATGCCAAACCTGACTTACCTGACACTAAGTGGATGGGATTTCATGGAGGACTTCTATTCTAGACTGAAAGCAAAGGCATCAACCTTACAGGTATTTATGAGTGTTTCTACTGTATACCCATACCATGATAAATTAATGTACACATGTAGCAGTGGAGATGAGTGTAAGGAGTTATGATATTTTAGCAACAGTCAATATTTTTTTCAATGGATGTATTGTTCTATATGAAAATATTAGATAGCTTAGACAGATACTAAGATGTGATTGGTCCAGAGCTTGTCACGTGATATCAATTGCGAGTGTTAGCGACCACCTGTCTTCAACTACCACTTTAAAACCCTGCGAGATTTCATTTACAGCTAAGAACATGTACACAGCGACCACCTGCCTAGCGCGACCAGCGGCAACTCATTTTCCTTCCGCTGGCCACCAAAAAAATGCCCACACAACGACTGCCAGCGCCAGCCGTGTAGCGACCAGCAACAGCAGTGCTTGAGCAATATTGTTCACAGCTAGGTAATTGGCGACATAGCGGCAGCCTATAAAGCTAGATCTAACGGTCATTTACACCAAACAAAATATTGAACCCCAAGCTTTTAATAAAAATTCAATCAACGTTTAATTACCAACAGGATATGGTTTCTTGCACATTTCATTATGGGCTGTGCCTATTGAAAACATAACAATACAGTGTCATTGTCATGAAATTTTTAATCAATGCCTCACTTGTTTGCGCATAGGCTGGCCAGTGAGAGCCCAGGGCCCGTATTCAATTCCATACTTACTTAATTACAAATTCAAAGCTGTTTACTTTAATAGTATTTGGCTTAGGTAATTACCCAGCCAGAATTGAAATTCTATCCATGGACTACCAGGTAAGTATTTTACTAAGTAAAGTATGATTTTGTCTTACCGGTAGTAAATTTTACTTAAGGAAGGTTAGTATTCAAATATCTCTTTTTGGCTAAGTAATTTGCTTACTCTTAGGAATATAAATTTGAACACTTAGGCTAAATCATCATCAGGTTCTTGTAGGAGCAAGTTGTGTTTACATGGCAGCCTTCAATCGCATTCACGAACACTATCAACGAGCACTTCGTCACCACTTGGTTCAAGATCGTGACAAATATATTGATGTCGAGTTGATCAAAAAATATCGGTAACAAGGATCAACTACATAACTGAACTATTGATTTTCTTCCATGCAACCTCTTAATCATGAAATGCTATGGTACCAAGTTTGGGCTGCAGAACATGCGATTGATTCCTATACTCGTCGATTAGGATACTCCTCTCCCGGTCTGCAAAATTCGGCCTTCTTTTTGTTGCAGAATCAATATTGATTGGGATAATGATGTAGCTCCAGACGTGAATTGTACTGTAAGATAATTTCCCATAGATTTATACGTCGCACAAAATCACTTTATCCTGGAGAAAATCAAAGCAATCAATTACGGCTCTAGAACTGTTGACAACATTTTTACGTCATGATACGTCACAAGTATTTTACTTACCGGTAAATAGATTTTGTCTTACGTATGTAAAAGTCTAAAATACGATTTGAATACTAGATAAGTGAAGTTTTTAGCTTAGTAATTTACTTAGTAAATATCTTACTTATTATAAGTATTGAATTGAATACTGGCCCTGATGAGTGGGCGGGGCGCTGTCTTGTCAATGAATTATTCAGGCTCGTTCATTTTATTTCCTTTAAATAATTGTTGATATGCAGATAAAAATGCCAGACAATATCTTGGAAATCGTGAAACCCGTAAACAAAATTGCTCAAGTGTTGCTAAATGCTACATGGCTGGGGGTTGATGTGTGGGCATTTTTGGTGGCCAGCAAAAGCAAAAAGAGAGGCCGCTGATTGCCTGAGGCAGGTGGTCGATGTGTACTGGTTCTCAACTATATGCATGAAATCTCAAGGGGGGATTTTAAGTGGACGTTATAGACAGGTGGTTGCTAAGACAGGTTGACTATACATTCTAAAACAATGGCCATCAACCATGGTTCCTGGACAGTGAACCATGAGGTATGGGATTCAAACCCTTACCGTACATAGCACTAATGTTGTTTGGCAAGACATTAATCTATATTTGCCATTCTCAACCTAGGCTTAGGAATGGGTGCTCTGGTACGATATTTTCCTTTAATGCATCACTATGTAGTTTCTAGAAATTAGATGCACTATGGCTGTAATTGTTGGTCTTCCTGTTGTGCGACACATGTACCCACAACAAATTTTGTGTGCTTACTATCCTGCAGTAAAAAAATTGTTAACTTTATCCCTGCACCAAAATGTGTATTTGTCACTAAACCTAAGTTAAAACTTATTTGACGCCCTTATCCAAATATTATATATTTGAATAACTAAAGCACCTGAGCATAGCCATACACATACATGTATATCAAAGCACCCAGTTATATTTGCAGTCATTCAATTAAAACATGTACTCTGGTAATATCCTTGCATGAATCACTGTTTGTATACATGTAGGTCCAAACTCTCAAGCTTGCAGTTGTCATGCTTTTGGATGCTAGGTCCCCAACATTAGTCTCTTCAAAACACCTGGTAGATGCTTTGTGTTCCATGCCAAACCTGACTGACCTGGCACTAAGAGGAAAGAATTTCAAGAAGGAGTTTTATTCTTCACTGAGTGAAAAAGCGTCAACTTTACAGGTATGTATGTGTGTTTGTACTCTATATCCATGCCATAAAGAATTCATATATTCATGTAGCAGTGGAGATGAATTTAAAGAGTTATGATATTTTAGCAACACTCTTCTTTGTTTAATGTGTCTAATATTATACAGCAGGCTTACGGTTGAAAAGGACTGTCAGTAATCTTTCTTTCTTGAGTGTGTGTGTGTGTGTAGTCCTGAAAAAGACTGTTGGTAATCTTTCTTGAGTTTATGGTTCTAAGGAGAACTATAGCACCGGTTGGAGAGGATGGGTAATAGGAGTGACTCAACGTTTCGAATAGGTTGACATTCCAGTGGGGAATAGCTGGTGTGCTTGGGCTTGAGTCAACAGGTTGCGAACGTGGGGGTGCTCCGTATCTGTGAGTGGGGTGTGGTGTCGGCGAGACGCTGTGTGTGCCCCCGACGTAGGCGGCGTTGCAGTCTGCTGTTGTTTGCGGTGCATTGTAGCTGTGATGCTTGAGGCTGCTTTGTGAGTTAGGCGAGTGGCGGTGGTTGATGTAAGGGTTTCTGCGAACTCACAAAGCAGCCTCCAGCCTCACAGTTACAATGCACAGCAGACAACAGCAGACTACAACAATGCCTACGTCAGGGACACATACAGCGTCTCGCCGAAACCACACCCCACTCATGGACACATAGCTCATCCACGTCCACATCTCGTTGACTTAAGCCCACGCATGCCCGCTATTCCCCACTTCTGACGACGGATAGTCAACCTGTTCATACGTCGAGCCACTCCAACTACCCATCCTCTCCAACCGGCGCTATAGTTCTCCTTAGAACCATATAAGCTCAATAAAGATTATGAACAGTCTTTTTCAAGATTTCCAACAGTCCTTTTCAGCACTACACACACACACTCAAGAAAGAAAGATTACCAGCAGTCGTTTTCAGGACTCCACAATCCCCCCCTCTCACATGGTGCAACCGTAAGCCTACTGTATATCTACCCCACCATGCAAGCCGATACTTATAAGCAGTGTCTAATGTTTTTTATCAAAATATATAACAGTGTTGGCAGACAAAGGAAATAATTATAAAGAGAGTCTTTCATGTGCAGTAAACATATAAGCACATATAATATTTTTCCCTGTAACATGAGAGTAATTGTTATCGCTTCATTCTTTTAATTAATGTAATGTTAATTGATATTGTATAATTGTGTTAAGTGGGTGCACGCTACAAGAGTTCTATCTCGCACCCGGGCCAACGTGTCTGACACGGCCGGTTGTAGCAACTACTCCGAAGATCAAGATTTGCATTAATGTTGATCTAAGGAGACACGAACGAACGAATGATGTTTAGTGTATGATACAGATTTCATATAGCTTGAGTAGGAAATATGTTCTGCTAACAAACTTCACCTTTAGAGGTTTGCCTTAAAAAATGTATTTGTTTTTTTATGGAGACTAACTGGATGTGTTTAACTATAAGGAAGAATTTGGGGGATTAGGGATGCCGTGTTGCTATCCATATAGACAAGATTCTTGTCAAATTTATCACCGTTATCTCTGCCTAGTGGCCCGTGTGAGAATTTAGGGATCAATAACCTGTCGTTTGGAGCGCCCTGTCAATTACTAACAATCGTATGTGCGCCCGAGCAAAAAGTTCGACAAGACGAACTTGAAAGGGCGAGGCGCGTCACATCGGGGAGAAGTGAATGACGTTGTCTGCTTTGCAGCGACTATATCATGAATTATTCATAGGTTTACGTGAAACGGCAGTGAATGCGTTCTGATCTACTAGTAGTTGCATGCTGTCGTCGAAGCAGGGTTTCACACCTGCCACCGATTGGAAATACCACTGTTGGCCTACATGTTTATGACATTTTTTCTTCATACATGTACTCTGTGATATTAAGGCTCACAGAGGAAACTTATTTGTATACTTGTAACAGACACATACAAAAAGCTGTGCTAAAAATGTTTTCTTCATTTAGGGCATGTTTAGCCCAATAAAGAATAACAGAACGGGAAAAATCTATCACAAGCTATGGTCTTTTTCTATTTTGTTCCGTCTCGTTCAATTGTTGCTTCGAAATCCAAGACATGATTCCAAATAATTAGGCGTTACTATTAGTACAATCATTAAATTAAACAAGATTTAAATGAAATTTAATATTAAAGCTTAATTTATATTCTACAAAGTATAAGCCTAATATGAGGAACATATCCCTCCCTGATTGATAGTTCTGTCAGTGTGATTATTAATACAATTGATTTCTCAAAATTTTTCCTGCCCTTCTTTGCATGATTGATTGACCTGTTGTCTTTGAATACTGATGCATCTGGCTTTGAGTGGGCTCCTTATACATGATCGGAGGATGCTCATTTGCATATGAATGAAGTCCCAGAGACTTTGATTGTGTGGTATTTCCAATCGGTGGCAACCATCTGAAAGCCCATGAGCGAATAGACTGCTATCCATGAGTTATGTTCTGACTAAACTGTTTTCATTTATTGAATATGCTATTTTGATATGTTTTACAATGCTAGGAATTTAATAATTATTGTCTTATCAAGAGATATGATTATTCCTATGAAGATTAAGACACAGTACGTGTCTTTAATAGTACATATTTTAATAGCTACTCCTTGATGGACTTTATACCCCTCAATCGGCTCTGTAAATGGTATAAACAACAATAAAATGTGATAATATCAAAGCTCATGAATATTATTCATGAGGCAGCAAGGATCGGACCAATCAGCTGAGTTCCCTGGAATTCCCTGAAATTTTTTCAGGGAACTTTATTTTCGTGATGGCAAGCTTGACTGGGCTGACTTAAAAGCATGTAAAAGAACTGCACGCGTGTAATAATGTGTGAATTATGTGCACGTCCGCTCTACAGTTGCTCGTATCGCATGCGGTCCAGTGGTAAAGTCTCTAGACAGTGAATCATGAGGAATGGGGTTCAAATCCCTGCCACACATAGCACTTATGTTGTTTGGCAGGACGTTAAGCTACATTTGCCATTCTCAATCTAGGTTTAGGAATGGGGGCTCTGGTAGGATATATTTCTTTAATGTATCACTATGTAGTATGTAGAAATTAAATGCACTATGGCTATAATTGTCGGTCCTCCTGTTGTTCAACACATGATCCATCAACAACTTTTCCGTGCTTGCTCTCCTGCACTAACCAAATACTTGATTTTAACCCTGCACCAACAATGTATACCTATCACTATAAACCTTAGCTCAACCCATTTGCAGCCCTTATCCAAATCCTATATATTTAACTAGATATAGCCCAGGGCATTTTTCACCTGTGCATATCCATACATATATATGATATCGGAGCACCCAGTTATATTTGCAGTCATTCTAAGAAAAGATGTACTCTGGTAATGTAATTGTATGAATCACTGTTTGTATACATGTAGCTCGAAACCCTCGAGCTTGATGGTGTTAATTGTACAACGCCAGCCTCTTCACAGGACCTAGCAGATGCTTTGTGTTCCATGCCAAACCTGACTCTACTGACACTACGTGGATGGGATTTCCAGGAGGAGTTCTTTCGTACACTGAATGGAAAGGTGTCAACCTTAAAGGTATGTATGTGTGCTTGTACTCTACATCCATGCCATGATAAATTCTTCTACACGTGTAGCAGGTAGCAGTTGTGATGGGTTTAAAGGGCCCCTCTAACCCAACTAACTTAGCCTTTCAAAAGATGAATACACCTCTACTTATTAATATTCCAGCCTAAGATTTTTCAGAAAGTCTCTATATTGACCAAAAAATGATAATAACCATCCATTTTTCACACATCTTACGCTTGCTAAGCTCCTGATGGACCACCCCTCGAAAAAAGGTAAATACAGTCACGTGGCTTGATGACACATTTGACGTCATTGCAATGTTCTTGTATTTGTCCTACAATTGAGGATCTTACAATCTCATTGTAATTCATAATTACAAATGACGAAATGACCAGAAACATTCTGGGATTATCAACTGCATTTTATTTTTCGGATAATTGTTTTGTTTCTTTTTCTTCCAATTAATATCATAGTTTGCCTTTTTAAAGACATTTCAATACCTAAATCATCCTCCTTTTCACCGTGTAGTCGCAATCAGACGATTTTTGCTTAGACTCATACCACAGTCCTTTCATTATTTTGCGTGCGCATTCCTGTCAGCCTGGCTTCAGTTTCCTTTAGAACACAAACTATCAAACGAGTGGGCAAAGAGTCCACAGTGTTATTTTTATCATTATTTTTTGGCATTTGTGCTTTACGGCTTAGTTTCGTTTTTTAAATTCTATGGCTGGAATCTGCCGATACTATCAAGCCACAAAGAACAAATTGGGATGCAGGAAAGGAGAAGACTGTGAGGACTGCAGCTGAGAAAAGGAAAAACTGAGGGTCATTTTCCACTTAGAATACTGACTGTTAGGCCTCGAGAGTTTTAGTTTAGACCACTTGTTGTCACTCCGACATGCATTTTCAATTTCACCGTACGTGCGCCTGAACTGGAGTACGAGGTTATATTTATGAAAACCTTGTACATTGGATGAGTGGTATAGAGATATCGACTGCTTTGATAACGATAAGATAACGATTTTTAAATCATGACCATTATTTGAACAATTGTTGAAGATTTAGTCGATTTTTGGTATTTTATAAAAACTTATGTTGTGTTATAATGCCAATGTTGTCTCCTGCACTGACGTCATATGCTTTTGCGCGATACAGCTCTGAAACTTGGCTTTTTTTGAGCGGTCTGAGTCGTCATTTTTAAAGCTAGATTCCAGAATTATTGATGATTTCTAAGAAAATTCTTTGTCATATTCGGAATCTCCGCCAACAATTTTCTACATGTCTTTTTTCAATTTTAAGCCCGTTTTGATTAGAGGGGCCCTTTAAGGAGTTATAATATTTTAGAAGCAGTCAATGTTTGTTCAATGTATGTAATGTTCAATATGAAAATATATAATAGTCTTAGCAGACAAAGGAGCATTATTATAAAGAGGTTCTTTCATATACAGTGCATGATACACAATTAATATAGCTTGAACTGTAAATATGATGTTCTGCAAAAAACTTCACATTTGAAGGTTTGCTTTAGAAAAGGTACTTGGTTTCCGATGAAAACTAACTGGATGTGTTTAAGTAAGCATTTCTGAGGGAAGGGGAGTCTTGTGTTGCTATTTACACATAATGATGCAATATCAATATAAAATGATTACTAAAGTACTATAAAGACTAGTAGAATCAAGTATTTTTGTTTGTAATTTTTATATTTTTAAGTTCATAGCAATTCATAAGGTTTGATTATGTCATGGGTCTGAAAGCAGTATCAAAGTATACTTCAGATTCAATACTCGATAACCAAGGATGAAGATCTAGATCACCGTGTACATTTTTTAAGCACAGCTACAAGTACACACTCTATATATACGTTCATGTATAAGGTATAATTTTAGTCATGAATGTATTATATAGCATTTAGGCAATGTCAAAAATGTGTCTAAATAATCGACAAAGGATTAGTTCCTTCTTTGGTTATTTAATTCTACATACACAAATACAGCTCTATTTATTAAAATAAATTATATGAATAATTTACATTATAAAATAATGGGACCAGGGAGTATGGAGTTCGAATCACTGCCGCATGTAGCACATATATTTTTGGGCAAGACAGTAATCTGTATTTGCTCTACTTAACCTAGGTGTAAAGTGGGTATATTGTAGGATATATTCCTTGAATGCATCACTTTGTAGTATGAAGTAAGTAAATGCACTACAACTTTAAGTGTAGGTCCTCCTGTTGTTCGCCACATGCTACCACAACAATTTCTCTGTGCTTATACCGGTATATCCTGAACTAACAAAATTCTATACTTTAACCCTGCACCAAAAAGGATACATATCACTAAACCTTAACTCAAAACTATTTGAAGCCCTTATCCAAATCCTATATATTTGGCTAAATGAAGCCCAGACAATTTGTCATCTGAGCATAGCCATACACATGCATGTATAACGGAGCATCCAGTTATATTTGCAGTCATTCAATTAAAACATGTAGTCTGGTAATGTACTAATGTAGTATTGATTACTGTTTGTATAAATGTAGGTCAAAACTCTTGAGCTTCGTAGTGTTAGGTGTTCAACATCAGCCTCTTTACACCTCTTAGTAGAAGCTTTATGTTCCATGCCAAACCTGACTGAACTGAAAATAGGTGGAGAGGGTTTCGAGGAGGATTTCTATTCTAGACTGAATGTTAAGGCATCAACTTTACAGGTATGTATGTATGTGTGTTTGTACTCTATATCCATGCCATGATGAATTCATGTACATATGTAGCAGTAACTGCGATTTTTCTGATTGTTCTGGAACGCGTAAGGATGACGCCCCGCTGCTTGGTGGCTATTTTTTTTTAGTCTTACAAAGTCATGTGACCTTTTGTCTTTGCATGTCAGCCCCCAAATCGCTCATTTTTGTGATTTGTGTACCAAACAAAAGGAAACGTATCATATTTCCTCAGAAGAGATGAAACATTGTTTATAGTTAATTTGTTTTTATTGGGGTCAAATTACTTGAATTATACAGTGAGAAATTAAATAAACAACAAAAACAATGAAAGCATAAGTTAAAAAATGAAGAAATACATAATGAATTATCAAAACAATAGATAACATAAGGAATAACCTAACAAATAACCTGGCTCTACTAAATTTTCTTGCTGTATTATTATTCAAAATGGTCTAAAGAATATATGTATTAAAAATGAATTTTTAAATATGAAGAATATATTATTTATGGGTAAAAATGTGAATGTTATGACCCTATTTGCATAAATTACCATGAATATGCAAAGGAGTGAATTTTTGTCTCGCCTGCGTAGCAAAAAGCGAGACATACGGTAGGCGCCGCTTTTTCGGTGACGGTAGCGGCGGCGATGGTGGCGGCGTTAACATCAAGGTTAAGTTTTTGAATTTTTAATATAATTTTGACAGTATAAGTTCTTATTCATTGAAACTTGGACTAAAGGGTTATCAAGTATCTCCAATCGTGAGAGGAGAATTTCAGGTCACAAAGTCAAGGTCAAAGGTCATTCAGGTCAACAAACTTAGACTACCAGTATGTTGTGGCATCATCAAAAACTTAACCTGAAGTTTTTAAAATAATTTTGAAAGTATAAGTTTGTATTCAATGAGAAATTGGAAAAAAGGGTTATTATCAAGTATCCCCAATCATGTGAGGAGAATTTCAGGTCACTAAGTCAAGGTCAATGGTCTTTTTTGGTCAACAAACTTAGACTATGTTGTGGCATCAGGTCAACATTTTGAATATTTTCCTAATTTTGAAAGTATACATTCCTATTCCATGAAACTTGAACGTAAGGGTTATCAAGTATCCCCAATCATGTGAGGAGAATCTCAGGTCACAAAGTCAAGGTCAAAGATCATTTCAGGTCTGCAAAAACTTGGATTATGTTTTCACAACATAATATGAGAATTTATGAATCAATTTTTGTTATTTTTTCATATTTCATGAAAGTTATCAATCTTGGTACAAACAATAGTAAATTATTCTTCTGAAGATTCTTAGTCAATATTCACTTAAAAATGCTGATTATATTCAGAGGTTTCCTTCTTTTTTGGGGGGGGGGGGGAGGGGCCTGCTAATGGGCCACCCTGCCTATAAATAATGTCCCAACATCAAACTTTCATCATATCGAATTGCCCAATGCAGACGAGACCGCCGAAACCGCCGTATCAATGACTTTAAAAAAAAATTCCAGACTGTATGCTCTTTGATGTCTTGTTCTCCAACACATTACGAAAAGCTCTCGTTAAAACTATACCCCACCACTATAACACAGGAACCAATGTAAATCAGGTGGGGTATCACGACCCCACTTTCGTTTCTCTCGTTAAAACTTGGACAGAGCCACTATACCCCACCACTATAACACAGGAACCAAAGTAAATCAGATGGGGTATCACGACCCCACTTTCGTTATCTCGTTAAATCTTGGACAGAGCCTTGCAGCTCAGCGTGAGAGAGTCGCAGCATGTCCACACACAAAACAATCATTTTTAAATACTTAACAGGATCGCATCATAAAATTTCAGCACGATAGGATCTGGGGTTATCTATTAACAGTAATATAGAAGCATTAAAAAACTGGCTTTCTTGAAAGGTTTGCAAGACAAAATTATTACTGGATTGTTGCTGTTCGTGAAAGTTTTCCTTGCCTTGAAAATGTCTGTCCTTTACTATTCATGATTTTTTTTTTGTGGACAATATCGTTTCTGCTGCAGCTGAAGGCAAGGATATTGAGGGTAGATCACGTGTCAGATCATCGAAAGCCCAAGGATGATGAGGAGTTGGATGATGCAACTAAGAAGCAGAGAGAAGAGGGATGCGCTCCCAAGACAACTCCAACATCCGTCAAGGAAGATGAAGAGGAATTAGTTCTACCAATAAAAGGTATGGCATTGAATAAGTGCTGTTTCGGCTTTATGCGGAAAGCAAGTCCAATGTATACGTTATGAAGTATTATTGTATTAGGTATGGATTTGTGAACTTAAATTGGCACGTAAAATATCTCATTTATTTGATGTTTTTGTCCATTCAAGCTCCAGTAGGGCTATAGGGTAGATGCAGTTATCAGGTATAATGAAATCTCAGATTTGGTTGGAACTGGGACATAAGAGCTTGGACTTGCCAAAAATGACCGGTTATTGACCATTCCCGGTACATGTTCTAAAATTGTGTGCATGAATCTCAAGTGAAAGTTGCTCTTTGCCAGTATTCATGATAGTTTTTTTTATACTTTATGTGTTTAATTTTTCTTCAAACTATGAGAGGTTTTCTTTTTTAATGCTCACTGTGAGCTGATAATCAATTTATTAATTTGTTAACTTTCTTGACCAAGTCAGAATGTTAAAATGTTAAACATTACTTATAATGATCTGAAATATCCTTTTCACATGTTGAAGAAATGTTTGATTGTTGATTGACACCGTTTTCTTGTTCAATTTTATTTTATTTAAGGAAATGAAATTCCAGCAAAAAAGAAGAAGAAATCAAAGAAAGAAAAGAAGGAGAAAAAAAAGAAGAGGGCACATGATAGCGACGACAGCGAGTCAACCCCAGTTGTCAAAATCAAAAAGAAAGAACAGACAAAGCAGGAAGATGATAGGAGGATAGCAGATGGGTCTGCACGAAACGAAAGAGAAAAGAGCAGGAGGAGATACGACGATGACGAAGCTAGGAGTTCATACAATTCTACTAGATACGAGGATGACGAAACCAAAGTTAAGAGGAGAGGAGATGAACAGAAGGATCGGAATGATCGTTGGGATAAGAAGCGAGAGGACAAACCAAGTATGGGTGAAAGAGAAAGGGAAAGAGGAAGGAGGGATTTGGATGGAGAGAGGGAAAGTGAAAGAGGGAGAGATAGAGAGGAACAGAGGAATGATAGAAGTGGAGAGAGAGAAGACAAAAGAGATAGGAGGAATAGAGAGAAGGAAAGAGATAGGAAACAAGAGGACAAATCAAGGATGGATAAAAGACAAAGGGATGGGGAAAGAGAAAGAGATAGAAGGGATAGAGATAGAGAGAAGGAAAGAGATAAGAGAGAAAGAGAAAGTCAAAAAGACAGCAGAGATAGGGATGGGGAAAGAGAAAGAGATAGGAGGGATAGAGACAGGGACAGGTACAGATGATGATGATAAATGTGGAATGAAACAGACTTTCTTGCTGGATCTCTGCGGTATAAATGGTTCCTTCGGTCGATTCTCATTTGAGAGATCGAGGGTTCATATCTCTGCCCAATGTGTTTGTCCTTATATACTGCATATCCAGATGTATTTACCTGTCTTTTTTGACCAAGGAGTGAAATGGATACCTATCAGGATTATTCTTGAAAGGCAATTTGCACTGATATAGGTTGCCAGAGGTGAATCCAAGATGATAAATTCCACAGCTATTTTGAAGTACCTAAGAAGGTATCATGGTATAGTGGTTCATTCACTTGACCCTCAATTCAAGGGTTGAGGGTTCCAATTCTCTGGTAGGATGTGAAAGTTGTTGTAGTTTACTTAGCATTGCTCAGCTGGTGTCTGGCTGTTATGCTCCCCAGGGAGTGGAGAATGTGTATACAATGTGTGTGGGTAAGTCTGAAATCAATGACTAGGCTAATGATATGCATGTACGTCTATCTCTAAAGCATTTTGATAGAGACTACATTGATGTATTATGGGCTGTATCAATATGAACCCGGAATATTTTCATTATTTTAAGGTTTTTCCATGTTGACATGATACATGTGCTTAAAGAGACTTGTTAACATTGTTCAGATGAGACACAATGGTACTAAGGCAGTGACTTCAATGCTAGATGTACAATTACAGATAATATGAAAGTTTGAGTGAAAACAGACCATTATTAATGATAAAAATGGGGAAAAACTGATCTGATCGATTCCTTAATTCTCCCAACTATACTATTACAATTTAGTTACATTTTAGGTGAATGTAAACCGTCACAAAGCAATGAATTAGCTCTATATACTATTCCAGACATTTAAGTGTTGAAAGATTTTTAAATGCCTGTCTTATGTCTTATTTTCAAGGAGAAACGGTTGGGAAAATTCAACAATGGTTGGGAGAATTTACTGCTAGAGAGTGTTGCACAGTGATGCCTTGAAAGAAAACCATAAATATCTTTGTGGTTTGAGAATTTGTTCAGGATTTTTTGCATGTTAGAGAGTAAGTACAGTAGAAGGAATATAATAAGTAACATTTCAAACAAAAATTACACAGTTTTTTCATCAACCTTCAACAACATTACTGAGTCACTTAAACAAAACATAGAATTATTATTCTCATGAACTTTTTATTTTATTGAGCAAGAAGGATCCGATAGGAGAGGTGAAGATGAATTTCGAGTGGATCAAGATACTTGAATGTCTGAAAACACAATGCTGTGAAAGAAAGGAAAAGCAGCGAGAAGACACGAAGAAATGGGAAAGATGAAGGCAAAGAGTTACGAAGATGGAAAGATTTTGATGTGGAAACAGGAGCCTAGTAGAGGAGTCTTCACAACCATTCCATAAATCTATATAAAATTGCATGGCCTTGATGAGCGAGATTTCAGAGCGTAGTGCACAAGCTAATGAGCATTTTGTTAAGAATGTTTAATGATTTAAATATTTTTGAGGATAGCGCAATATATTCCTAAGTCACACAAAATTAAAGCCATTCAGCTTTCATCAAAATTAGAATTAGGTGAAACCTAGTTTGTTTGTTTTTTCCATTTATACCATTATGTTTTAGTAGTAAATTTCACATTAATCAGAGCAACAAAGTTTTGGTAAGGAATGGGTACTTATGTCCATTGTCTTAGAAGGGGGGATAAGTCGTCAGCCTATGATTCTTCTTCTCCCCCCCCCCCTTTTTTTTGGGGGGGGGGCAGGAATGTGCCGGTGATGCCCCCTGGACCCGACAATGCCTTTCTTAGAAAAAAATTGATGAACGATGCTGATTTGCAATTTCAATTTTTAATAGAAGAGGCCCTAGAAAGCAAGATTGAATGTGGGATTTTTTTTTTATTGTGATTGTAATTTTATTAGGTATTTACTGTACCAAGTTGCTCTTAATTGTATGCATTCTGTTCAGCTTCACACATGTCCAGTATACACAGTTGGGCCCCGAAAGTTTACATGCACCTTGCAGAAA